ATGTCACTTGATTTAGTATTGCAATAATGGTATTAAGAGTTGACTCTCAATGAACCAGGTCTCTAATTAGATGCTTTGTCATAATAGGGGACGATAGTTGACTCGAGCCAAAGTTATTACAAGTTTGGGCTGTCAAATGGAAAAGTAACTAGTAAAAATGCCTTGCAATTATATCAAACAACCTGCATTGCACCAATATGACTTGAGTATGTTACCTTTACGGTACCAAATAAGAGTTATCATGGCTTGGACCATTGTCTGCCATTATGACGATTATGGTGGGTGATCATTTTGGCAATTCACCCTTTTTTTATATTTTTAAGTGGGTGATTAAATTAAACAATGATTAAGTATAATCAGATCTTGGACTTTCATTGGATACTCTACTAATAGAATTTACAAGTATACAAAACCAATCGACTTTTGCACAAAAAGTGCTTTTCCGATTTCAACTAGGGTTTGACCCAATTGTACAAACAAATCGGTTGGTGTTTGGTTTGACTGCATGGAGTGCATGCAGGAAAAGGAAGTGTTTATGCTCTTGGTCTAGCTTTAAAGGGTAAAAAGATTGGTCCAATGTTTGAACAGAAGAGAGAGCTCGCAAATGCTCCTTTTGATGTCTGTTGTGGGAAAGGCACTTGATCATAAAGATAAGGGCTCAGTTTGGTGCATGAGTAGGTGTGTGACGGCAACGGAAATGGAAACTATAGCTTTGTCTTTGTCTCTCATTTTCAAGTATGCATGACTCATCAATTCTATATACCTTCAAGGTAATTGGATTAATTAGTTGGTGGCTGGTTGGCATTGTGAAAAACGAATTTAGCTTTTAGAAAAAGAGATTTTGATTCTAGATGATCATGTCCCACTCAACAAAAGTAATGTGCTATGCCAAATAAATACATAATTACTTCATCTCGTTATGTAGTAGGCTTGTTATGTATTGTGATAGTTACTACTTATTATGTTAGACGCGACATATTGGTGTAATGCGACTGAAATGCGTATAAGGTAAAATTCTGATTTTCCTACTTCTCTTTTGTCCACTTACACTTCCTTATGTGTTATAGTAAAAAGTATTAAAAAATAAAAAAGGAGAGTGGGAAAAACACCCGTTAAAATATACAATTATTATAATAATTCAACAGGTGTACGATTGTTTTTCTAATTAACAAATTCATTAATCATTTTGCATGATTTTTAGATTTCTTCATATGCTTAGTTATGGTTGTATGGGGCCATTGGGACTGAGCCTATCACTTTATCAGTTTTAATGGCCCATTAGGGCCCATAAGGCATCCTTACTGTTACACAAACATGGTTTTTCGAGCAGAAAAAGATGGAAAAGACTGCTTGTACTACATAAGTGATTAAAGGTCAAAAATCAAGCTCAAAGATTTACCACAACTAACTAGAATTATCAAGAAAAAAAGTAAAAATACAAACACTTGCCACAACCTTTGAGGCAAGCTGTTATAGATGATCATTTTTTCTCTTTTTGGTAGGATGTTATGAACATAAAAAGAAAGTTCTTCATTTGGTGTCACCATACACAAATTTTAGTATTTGACTATCAAAACGTAAACAAATTACGCTTTCACGAGTAGTGATGGGAGTCACCATATAAATATGATAACGTGGTATAACGATTCTACGTAAGTTTTTCTCTATTAGGTAAGTCTGGTGTCCTTTGGTTTCTTTTACCTTTGCCCTTGTTAGATGGGTTAAGCAGCTTCATCTGATGGGAGAAACAAACAAGATTTTTGGACATGAATTCCATCATTCATGTGACAGAGTTGGGTGCGGGTTTGGCCCTTTGCTTTTTGTTGCTCCTCATGTTGGGTTTGTTGGTTTGTTTCATCGTTCTTTCTGGGCTATAGGCCTTTTGGGTATTTTCCGTAACTTGTTCTCTGGGCCTTTCAGCTACTTGTAAGTTGTTTGGTTCCTTATGCCATGTGTTGCTTCCATTCATAAAAGTTTAAAACTAAACGCCAAAATTTATGAAGGAAAATACTTCCCTCTTTATTATGTATGTAAGTAGGAGGTTTTTATATTCGTGTCAATAGTAATGAGACATGTATGCAAAAGTTTTTCTTTTTGTATTTTTGATGAATTATTTTTGCATATGTGTCAAACTGTGATGTGCAGGAGGGAGTATCATCTTTTTACAGGAAAGGAAACAAGCAATATTCATTTAAGAATACCAAAAGTATAAACTTAAAGTGTCAACCACTTCATTTTTTTTGGGGGTGGGGGGAGTGCTAGTAGTATTTCAATGGCCAATGGGCATATTATAAAACAAAAACAAAAATAAAAATTCCGATGTCCATGTGCATGAGCTCACCATTAAGATTAAAGACTACAAAAACGAAATGACTGTCATGTTATGTGTTACACGGCTTGAAAACAAAATATTGAGATAAAAATGGGTGCCCTTGACGTTACTGAAATTTTCATCCTCAAAAGGAATTACTAAACTGTGCAATATAGTTTATAACACTAACGAATAAAATTTTATTTGAATGTATGATCTAAATCGACAATGTAACATAACGGAGTAAAAAACAAATATACTTGTTATCGAATACGAATCAGTTGCTAAAGTACTGCCAAGGAAGTAAACAAAACCTTCTAGCAGCTGTACATTCTGCACAATGTCTATCCTCATGGCATGTGATCCAAGTCATTATTTATCCATATATGCTCCAAAACCAGATTGATAATCTGGCATTTACTAGCTGCCTCAAAACGAATTTGGTTGAATTTCACAACTCAGCTCAACCCAAGTGAGCTACCAAGCTCTCTCAATTAAACTCAGATCTGATCCAAGAAACTATAAACAACAAAAGAGAGAGCACCTTAATTATGATTAGTGATCGTGAGCCGTCCATTTTAGTTAAACTAATGAACAGATAAGATATTAAAACTAAAAAAAGAAAAAAAAAAAAAAGAGAGAGGGGAGGGGGAGAGGAGGGGGGGGAGAGAGAGAGAGAGAGAGAGAGAGAGAGAGAGAGAGAGGCATTAATTTAATCAAACCCTATGGATCCAATTATATTCGCAGACAATATCAATACGAATGAAATTGAACATTAAGAATTAAAAAAAAAGGTCATACATATCATTGTGGTCGGCTTTGGATAAATTATAATCTCATGATTAATAATAATTAATGTGGTTGAAGTGGAGACAAATATGAAGTTCATCTCATGCATTACCCACTTAATTAATATTTAATTTTAATATTCCTTCCCTCCTCACGTTCACAAAATAATGAGTAGAGTTGTCATACTACAAACCATAGGAGTAGTTGTGGAATTGTATAATGCCATATGACAGCAAAGAATGACGTTTGAAGAGTGTGATGAAATCATATTCTACCTTCACTCACGGGAACGGGAACGGGAGAAGATGGTGGCCACATACTATATGGTCCCTACCACAAAGGAGTAACGCTAGACATGTCAAAGAGAAAAAGTCTACTCCTAAGATCTAACATCATTTTATTTATTTATATCTCTATTCATTACTTTGAATTCTATTTTAGAGATGAGCGCGACGGTTCAGTTTGATTTGGTTTATGCCTTAAATCACACATCACGCCAATGTAGCATCACAGTTCAAATTGATTCCGTTTAAGCCTTGAACTCGTAGCATTGTCAAACTAATATATTCTCTTACATGAATCAAACTAGTAGTAGTTGAGAAAACTTCTTACTAGCAAATATGGATAAATAGTTTAGTTTAGATATTTTTGTTTATGGTATTAAATAGTCGATATCAACGTATGAGATGAAATATAATCATAAATAGTGATAACCAATATAAAAATGCAAAGTGTCAATAAACAATAAAATTTACGAAAAACATTTTGGTTCGGTTTAGGCAATTTTCAAATAAGGCCAAATCAAACCGAATCAAATTAATTACGGTTCAATTGATAGTGTCCAAAATTAAACTTACCTAGTACTATTGAAATTTAAAAAACTTTTTGGTCAACCAAAATACGTATAATGAGACATATGGCATGGTTTGCTATTCAATATCAATTCCCATGAGAATTTGATGTCTTTTGCTTATTTGCTACTCATTATTAGATGACGACGACAGTTCGTCGTTTTCATTTTAAAAAGGAATTAGAGAAACCTAATGGATAGGTGATAACCAAAACCCAAAAAGAAAATGGGGACAGGAGGTGATGATATTGCACGTTACGTAGGCAAAATATTATCTATTTACATATACAAACAACCTAATCCTAAAGAATATACCATTGCTAATCTCCCCGGCCCTCGTTCCCGTTTTGAATTAATTCTTCGTAATTACAAAAAGATGCTTCGGTGTAAAGCATTTGTTTTGTTCATAATTGAAATAATAAAAAAATAATGCCACTACAAGAAAAGTAGGTCTTTACTTATCTTAAAAATAGTCAAGTAGAGTTTTATAATGCATGTGGTAAAGAGCGTTTATTTCAACTCGCAACACTTAAATAATTCGTATTTGACGTGTGTAATTACAATTTTTCAAAAACAAAATACCTAGATTTTAATCACTATAACTATGTTCATAATCATGTCTTAGTTAATGATTAGGGTGGGAACGAAGGGAAGCCATTGCAACTAATCGCATTGGCCAAAAAATTACAAATAAAATAATAATGGTCGGTCAAAAATTACAACAATCATTGGAGGGCCCACAACCGCAAAGGCACAAACCCAAAACATTGGCCGGTGAGTGTGATCAAATTTCTCCATCAGGCTGATCACTCAAGCCTCCAAGTCACATCAGCCGATCAGCCGTCCACGTGGCATGATGGGAACAAATGGGAGGCCCGCCTACTAGCCCAGCCAGACAATGACAGGTGGCCGCCAATTGTACTTGTCGTTGAATTTCAGCTGTTACCGGATGGAAACCGGCTGGTCCGGTTAATGGGCCGTTAACCCTGTGTTTAAGGACCCTTATATATAACTGTCACTATGACACTAACCAAAAGCACTCAAAGCAAAAGCAGCTTCTTCTCTCTTGTGAATTTGGATTTGCTATAAGGCTTTTTGATTAAGTCAAAATCCAAATTTCCAAGAATGCCTGTCTCTAGAATTGCAGTTGGAAACCCAGCTGAGTTTGGGCAGCCAGATGCTCTCAAAGCAGCTCTTGCTGAGTTCATATCAGTTCTCATCTTTGTTTTTGCTGGTGAAGGCTCTGGCATGGCTTTCGGTATGTCCCTTACCTTGTCACCTTGTTTTTCATTTCCCAATTTTTTTGTTTTTCTGTTTTTTCAACACATCATAAAAGTCAGACTGTGAATCTTAACCATATTCTTTAAACACGCATCCATATATTCGATGTTAAAGTGATTGTTCGACAACATAACATATGAAAGACTGTTTGACAAAAGAACATTTTGTTTATTGTTCATTAGTGCGTATGCTTACTAATCTTATATTTCGTGCTTTGACAGACAAGCTCACTGATGGTGCTTCAACAACACCGGCTGGCCTTATAGCCGCTGCCTTGGCACATGCCTTTGCACTTTTCGTGGCGGTTTCCATTGCAGCAAACATCTCCGGCGGTCATGTTAACCCTGCTGTCACATTTGGTGCCCTTATTGGCGGCAACATCACTCTCATCAGGTCTATTTTGTACTGGATTGCCCAGTTGCTTGGAGCCGTGGTTGCTTGCTTGCTTCTCAGGTTTGCAACCGGTGGATTGGTAAGCCACTAACTCATCCTCACATTGGAGGGCCCACAACCGCAAAGGCACAAACCCAAAACATTGGCCGGTGAGTGTGATCAAATTTCTCCATCAGGCTGATCACTCAAGCCTCCAAGTCACATCAGCCGATCAGCCGTCCACGTGGCATGATGGGAACAAATGGGAGGCCCGCCTACTAGCCCAGCCAGACAATGACAGGTGGCCGCCAATTGTACTTGTCGTTGAATTTCAGCTGTTACCGGATGGAAACCGGCTGGTCCGGTTAATGGGCCGTTAACCCTGTGTTTAAGGACCCTTATATATAACTGTCACTATGACACTAACCAAAAGCACTCAAAGCAAAAGCAGCTTCTTCTCTCTTGTGAATTTGGATTTGCTATAAGGCTTTTTGATTAAGTCAAAATCCAAATTTCCAAGAATGCCTGTCTCTAGAATTGCAGTTGGAAACCCAGCTGAGTTTGGGCAGCCAGATGCTCTCAAAGCAGCTCTTGCTGAGTTCATATCAGTTCTCATCTTTGTTTTTGCTGGTGAAGGCTCTGGCATGGCTTTCGGTATGTCCCTTACCTTGTCACCTTGTTTTTCATTTCCCAATTTTTTTGTTTTTCTGTTTTTTCAACACATCATAAAAGTCAGACTGTGAATCTTAACCATATTCTTTAAACACGCATCCATATATTCGATGTTAAAGTGATTGTTCGACAACATAACATATGAAAGACTGTTTGACAAAAGAACATTTTGTTTATTGTTCATTAGTGCGTATGCTTACTAATCTTATATTTCGTGCTTTGACAGACAAGCTCACTGATGGTGCTTCAACAACACCGGCTGGCCTTATAGCCGCTGCCTTGGCACATGCCTTTGCACTTTTCGTGGCGGTTTCCATTGCAGCAAACATCTCCGGCGGTCATGTTAACCCTGCTGTCACATTTGGTGCCCTTATTGGCGGCAACATCACTCTCATCAGGTCTATTTTGTACTGGATTGCCCAGTTGCTTGGAGCCGTGGTTGCTTGCTTGCTTCTCAGGTTTGCAACCGGTGGATTGGTAAGCCACTAACTCATCCTCACTAAAAACTCTCAATCACCAACCCAAAAAAAAAAAAAAAAAACCTTTCTTATCAAGGGATTAATTGATGTTGTTAATCTGATGCAGAAAACATCTGCTTTCTCCCTATCAAGCGGTGTGAGTGTCTGGAATGCTGTGGTGCTGGAGATTGTGATCACCTTTGGTCTGGTTTACACAGTTTATGCCACAGCCCTTGACCCAAAGAAGGGCAACATAGGCATCATTGCCCCCATTGCAATTGGATTCATTGTTGGTGCCAACATCTTGGTTGCTGGTGCCTTTGATGGTGCATCCATGAACCCAGCAGTCTCCTTCGGACCCGCTGTCGTCAGCTGGACATGGGACAACCACTGGGTCTACTGGCTTGGCCCATTCATAGGCGCTGCCATTGCTGCCCTCGTCTACGATCTCATCTACATCACCCCAGACACACATGAGCAGCTCCCCACCACAGATTACTAAGCAATTTGAAGTTTTTTTTTTTTCCTTTCAGTTCAGGTGATGAAATGGGGTTTTGTCTCAATGCTGTGGGTGGTTTGGTGATGTTTGTATTTGGATGTTGTTAATTGTTGAATTCCAATGGACTTTGTATTGTTTTGTTTCTGTGCAATTTGTGTTCAGTTTAAAAAATATTTTAGGTGCAAAGAGGCGCATGTGCTTGACTAAAATAAGAACAATGAATTAGTCAGCTACTGAGTAAATTAACAGATAATAGGGTGGCTAAGTCATCCCAAAACAACCACGAAAAGGCTAAGCACAACTTATGCCCTAGAATACAGACTTGCCTTGGACCACACTAATGTGGATGTGTCATGCTAGCAGCAAAGACTAGTGATGCTGTTATGCCCCATAAAACAAGTTGAATTAGATTATTAAAACTCCAGCACATGGATCACTCTTCAACCCACCCTAACCTGCAAGCCAAGGGACTCAAGAGGAAGCTTGGACACGGAGCTAGTTGTCCTATATATACCTACTACAAAAATGAGAATAATAAAAGCTTCGAGACAGTGTTGACGATAAGAGGACAACAGAGCTTGAAGAGACTAAGGATTTGCTACAGAGAAAAGAGGGAAACAACAAGTGCTCAAGCTATTGTGTGGGAAAAAGGTAATGGAGGAGATAACTTGTGGAAAAAGGAGCAATCATATTATCTGCCATGGCATGGACAAGAAGCTGGGAGTGATAGTGGTGAAAGCTGTGAATTTCGACGTGTTAATTTTAGAGGGGGACTTCAAACTGTCTAAGTAGAAGACAGGGTGAACTATTGACACAGCTTTAGAGGCTCATAATAGAAATGTGCAATTATACTAAAAGCATACCTGTTAGTTGGCATCCTGTCCTTTTTTCCTCTTCATAAGCTTCAAGGCTCCGAACTACACAAGGGGCTGTCACCCTGCTCGCTAGGCACTAGTTCTATCCGGTTCAGTCAACCAAGCTGGGGACCTCGATGGGAATAGTGAAAGAGAAGGGGAAGAAGCAGGTAGAGGAATTGAAACTAAAGTTGCATATTTACCATGTAACATGTAGCATGAGTTGTTAGTTTTGCTTTAATTAGTAAATCTAAAACTATACTAAGGAGGATGGGACCAAATACAGAGCTTTACCTAGAAAACAAATGAAAAAACTACTTCCTCATTTTATTAATTTTTGTTTTCCAGACTCCATGCACAAGAGGTGCAAAGGGAAAAAAATATACCTGTTTCTCAAAACAAATATGTTTTAGTTACTAGATTAGACTTCTGCCATGAATGATTAGTATTTCAAGCTACAACTCCACTACTACATGCATCCGAAATCCAATATATCAAGTGCCAAACACCATTTATTTCCAGATTCTAATATCACGAATTGCACGACTACCTAATAGATCAACTTCATAACCAATGTACTATTATGACATCATCTGGACAGACTTGACAACGTTGATCAAGAATCTAAAATACATTGGACAGACAATTTTGGACTTCAATAATTTCTTAGTGTGAAGAGGAGAACAAATCAAGAAGTGCACTGAAATAATTCAAATAAAAGCCAATACATGCCTCTCTTTATGAAGTGTGTATTTCTGAATCACCAGAAACTGGCACACAATTGGTATCTACAAAATTGTGGTCCTTCACCTTTTCTTCTTCTTGGGGTGTTTACCCAGCTTTGATCGGCGTTGCTTGAACATATGCAGGTAAAGTTTCAAGCAGAGGAATGGGTAGCAGACAAGCAAAACCTAAATCAGAAAATTCCAACGATATTAAAAACACTGATTCTTTTATATATTTAAAACAGCGAACAAATGAAATATTAGTTGGGTCATTGTTAGAAAATAGAAGGGAGACAGTTTCCCTCGTGTCTGATGCGTGTGCACTGAAGACTAAAACCATTTATTGAAGGAACCGTAGGTAAGATTTAAAGAGGAATATAACTTATAAGTGGCCGTTGCAAGTCCACCTTACTGGAGGACTAAGAAAACCATGGCATATTTTCCTGGAGGTCGAATATTGAAAGGTCTTGGAAACTTTAAAATGGTAGAACCAATTATGACATTTTCTTTTATCTTTCATGGGGAACTTCGGTTAATAAATGCAATCCTAGTAATGCATGTCCATCCTGGAATTAGGAATGGCTGGCTATGGAGCACGATTGGGATAGTGGAACTCCAACCCAAATCCAGCCATCAAATTGGGGTTTCACACTTAAAACCAGCCAAGGAGGCAGTAGATCTTTTCTGAATCATCATTTCTTAGCTAACAGGGAAACAAAAGAAATACATCCACTAAGTGTAAATACACAGATGAAATTGTTAAGAATTGATAGATCCTGCAAGAATGTGAAGCTCACTTCAGTTTTAGATTCCCAAGTTCCCAACCAAAACCTAATAACAGGAATCCCAACCACATCCCAGCAGAGCATACAAATTTCCAAATTATCCTCCTAGCCTATTAGAAATTTACTTACAGTAACCAAAAATCCATGTCAAGTAAATATTTAGTCTAGTCAAATTATACAAAGGTTCTGGACCTACCCTATACCATGAGTGCCTAGTTGGCAAGGTGGAAAGAAGAAGCATGTATATTAAAGCTCATGGTGAAAAAAATCAGAACATACCCTCAGAAAGTTATAATAGCTGAGGCCAGCAAATAAATCTGGGAAGAGGCTCGTCTTCTTTACAAAAGGAAGTGCTTGGTACATAAGCCAGGCTGCATTGTAATCACCAAAATCAAGGGAGAAGGAGAGGGAGGGAAAGGAGGGGCAGCGGGGGGACAGGATTTTTTCATACAATCAAAAATTGAAACCAAAGACTAATGGAAACCATGAACTTACTTTCACCAGCCATCCCTGGAGGATACAAGACAATGAATGCAGTGTACCTAGTGAAACGAAAAAGTATTGTTATTGCAATAAAATCCTTTCTACTTGCTTTCTATTCTTTTGTTGCGTAGTATTGTGTTGGTTGCTTGTATATGAATTTTGAATTTATCATCATAATTAGAAAGAGTAGAACCTGAGATAGGTAATCCATGAAGGGCAACTTCCCATGCAGTTAAAAGCATAATGTGGATACCTAATAACCTGCATACAGGTTCGTGATCTTATTATTTAGTTCACTGAAATTTTATTGTAGAAAACTTTTTGAACCAACTTACCTCACTTAAGCTCCAAGCAACAAAAGTTATGAGGACTGATGGCGACTCTTGGACCTACAAAATGCTCAAAACAATGGACTACGATTAATTTGTGCACAATAAGCAGACCTCATTAATGTTGAGATTTTGACAAGAATTAAGCATTTCTGCAAAATTTCAGAACTTAGGATTTCTCTTGGTGCAATTTTGCTTGAGTGCGGTTGGGGTTTATTGAGAACAAGGGAAGAGATTATTCTTGTGTGAGGAAGAACCCATATGCTCTTGATTGTAATACCCTTCTGCTTCTTCGTTTATCTGATTCAAACCCAAATCACCCATGTGGGTTTAAACCAGTTTGGGGTGAACCAAGTAAAAATTTTGGGTTATTGTTATGCTTATCCAGTGTCCTTAATTTGTTTGATCTTAAGAATTGGGGATCAAGGTCTTCAAATCCCTAACAATAAAATAAGCATATATGCATTCAAGCCCATGCTTATATATTATGACATTGCACAAACAAGCAGCCCTAAGAAATCAACAGATTCTGCACTTGCTCCTTTCCCTTTTACCAATCTCACCTTTCAAGGGAAGCTCAAGTCTCAATAATAAAACCCATAAATCGCACAAGAAAGGTACTTTAATACTTAAAATAAAATCAAATAAGAAAAAAAAAGAAAAAGGGAAAGAAATAACCTCATGGGTTTGGCGCAAAACAAACAGAAAATGAGCCCTTCCTGCCCATTGCATCAGAGGAAACACCACTCCACTCGGCACGAGACCTCCAATTTCATTGCATAAATAAGCATGAAACTCACACTCTTAATAAACTTAGAAACATATAAATATTAGGTCTCAGAAAACCTACCAACGGCTCCGTGTATAACTTCCAAGAACTGAACCATTTGGAGAAAATCTGCAGTGATCAAGACACACAATTTGATTAAAAAGAAAAACCAATTCTTTGTTCAATTCAATCACAAATCAAAAAAAAAAAAATACTGACAGATGAGGTCTCCAGCAGAAGCATAAGCTCCATTGACGGCCTTGGTGGAGACAAAGCTGCTCAAGCTTAAAGCGAGACAAACTGCCCTGCAATGGAAATTTCATATCAGCAACAAAGATTTGAAATTTTGGGAGGTGGGTTTTACTGTTGAGCGCTTTACCAGGCTACGGCCTGAAGAGAGTTGTAGGCCAAGAGATAAAGGTTGGATGGCTTTGGCATTGTGTCTTCAACTCTTCCCAAATTCCAACCGTTGGACTAAGAATGTAGGCGACTTGGCGGGTTAATTAATGGTGGTAGTTGTCGTTGACCCTTGGATTGGGCCCAACTGGGCCAGGGATATTTATGGGTATCAGAAACAGAAACTGCAGGATGGGCCTGAGTTTCATTTCCTGTCATTTTCCCCACATTTAAGAGTATGTGGGTTATTTCAGCTAACGGGGTCTAGCTCCGTGAAAAAAGGCATTGACTAGAAGACTAGTAATTTGAACCTCTATGACACATTGAGCACACTAGTAGTTTGAATCTCCATGACTTGTAGCATAAGAGTGGGCTATTTCGTTTCTTTTTGTCTTTTGATAGAAGCAATATTAGATTAAGCGGATTTTGAAGTGTTCCTAGCCTCTATTGATTTTGTATACGTCTTAAATCATGTTGTTTTATTTTATTTTATATAAGTATATTCTTCTTTAAACTATGTTGTTTTATTTGTAGAAACTCCATTTCTTTTTCTTCATTTTGTTGTGTGTGTGTGTGTGTTCAAGCGCGCAAAGGCTTCATTAAAACCATAAATCATAGATTCTCTGAACCGAACTTAGCCTCATCAGAGAATTTGGACAAGGAAATGGCCTCATTATTCTTTCTTGTTAAATCAGCTTGGAGAGTGCTATCATGATATCATCTATCACTATCATACACGGTTGGAAAGGAACAGCAGGTCTTTCAACCCTGAAGTGCATCACAGAAGATCATATCTTTGAGAAAATTGACAACGATGCATAAATATAGATTTTCTCTTTGTAATATGTTTCCTCTGTCTGATAGGTGTTCTGCAGTTTGTAGCGGATGGAATATTGGTTTTTTGTTGTTGTATTATTCCTGCTTTCTTCCTTTCGTGTTTGGTTTTGAGCAACTCTTTGCTCCATGACTAGCTTATGGTTTGTGGAAAATACATAGCTTATTCATTGAAAAAAAAAAAAAAAAAAAAGAAGAAAAGAAAAAGGAAGGATGATCACTTTAAAACAGGCACGACAAAGGATGATTACTTGAAATGACCAATTACTTTACTTTCAATAAACTATTTTGGCATTGACTTATCAGAACAGCAGAATAGGATCCACGTCTAGGCACTGAAAAAGATAATGTTAATATCTCCTGCATATTTTGTCAAATCTGATGTGCAATCCAATGAAATGCTAAAGTTGGAAAGACAGAAAAAAAACAGAACAAAGATTTGACAAAGAACATGGTTGTTTTTTTTTTAATAAATTAAGAGAATTTAGAGCATAAGCATTTTCTGTCACTTCCTGTAGTTATTGCGTGTTGTGTTACCTTTTGGTGGCCTTAATTTTTAACTGTAGAAGAGGTGATTCTGAGTTCTTTTTTATCTTCATGTAGGAAAATACTTCCCTTGTTTTCTTCACAGTCGACATGTGTGTAGAAGTTTTTCTTTTTGTATTTTTGATGAATTCTTTATGCACATGTATTAAACTGTGATTTGTAAAAATTAGGAGTATCTCCTTACAGGAAAGGAGTTTGACAGCCACTTCTTGAACTTTCTTCCTACATTAATAATAAATATAGGCTTTCCTTTTTGTGTATAAATTTCTGTTTGTAATTTAGGAAGTAGATATATATTCAAAAGGAAAAAGTAAAAAATAAAAAAATCCCAGCTCTTCTTGGAAAGATTTGAAGCTATATCTGCAAAGTCATTAGAAGATTTCCTTTGGAACTTAAGTGCTTTCTGAGTTTATTTTCATCAGGAGAGGAAAAATATTAAATGTTCTTGTGCATGAAGAGGTGATGTTATTGGGGGGTATGCTTGTGCAGTTTTAAATGGACCACAACTATGAATAAATAAACAAATCTTATGGGACAATGATTTGGACATCTAACCACTAAATTAGTAATTTAATTAGCAAAGAATTAATAAGACCATGTTACCTGGACCACACTCCTCAAAAGGAGTTTTTCCTCATGCTGGACCTGGTAGGATGATAGCATGTGTACTCTCCTTTTTATCTTACTTTCAACAGACTTTGCTGTCCCAAAATTAATCCATTTTCATCCCCCGCTTGTTCACATGCTAATCCTTGGTTTTCAACTTAGTTATTAATTCAGTTAACATTCAGTTCATTAATGCATACCCAGAATTTGTTTACTACAGATTCTTGTTGCAGACAAACTTGAAGGGCTGGCTGCAGCTATTTTTTCATGGAAAAGTAGAAGCAAAATGGAATCTGGGAAAGCTAGAGATAGAACAACCTTTTAGTTTCCTCAAGGTTCTTATATGCTCATAATTCAAGATTCCTTTTTTTTCTTTAATGATGCTTTAGTGGGTTTAATTTGGGTGAAAATATTAGTAATTGGACATTAATTAAGTGCTTAAGGTTCTTCATGAAGCTGCTCAAGAACAATTTTATGTAGCATAAAATAAGCTAAAAGAAGAAAAATTATGATGGTAACCAGCTTGATATTGAAAAGTAAATCTTCAAAGACATATATACAACATACTTCCATGGACATACCACAGCAACAACACCATATGGTAAATTTGAAGTTCTCTCTTCCTCACTGAAAATTGAAAAACACACACAAGGATACAGAGGACAGGAACTAGAGTAAAGTAATGCATAAAAACAAGTGATCTGCAGCTGATGGCTGGTGCAGACCAGACCCAGATTTCAGAAAGGAAAAAAGAGCTTAGAGATCATCTGAGATCATACCCATGTTATTATACAGGTTAGAGGAGCTTTTCCTTAAGACCCTATTTCACATATGAACAAATCTTAATAAATAAAATCCTAATCAGCCAGTTAGAGATGCTTTTCCATATTCAAAACAGGACAGAAATTGGTCACTTGTAGTTGGGAGAAACATCTTACTTTCCTCTTCATCCATTTCCCATAGAGAGTCAGAGCAATACTCCCATGGTGCTGGAGAAGCCATTAATGGGCAAGAAATAATGTTGCAGGCTTCTTCACTATAGCCATTGTAAACTGGTTCAATACTGTTCACTTCTGGCAGATTGATATCCTTCCATATATCATCAAGTGAGTACTCCTTTTGGTCCCTTTTTTTATCATCTTGTTGCTCCTGATGATCTCCACCAGTTTTCTTTGCTCCAGATGATGCCTTGATTTCAAGCCCACCTGTGTCATAAAAGCTTGCTCCTCCTTCAGTTGAGGTGATGTTTGAGGATGAAGAACAGTTGGAAGAAGATGATGATGGGGATGCAGCCCTCTTTTTCTCTTGTGCCTTCTTCCTCATATGAGTCCTCCAGTAATTCTTAATCTCATTATCTGTCCTCCCCGGTAATTTTCTAGCAATTCTTGACCATCTGCATGAAATTTAATTACATCCTATATCAAGAAAAATCAAATTGAAAGAATTGAAATTAAGGGTTTTGACATATATCCGGTATGTTATGTTGTCACACTGTGAATCTCAATTTACAGTCGAACAACACAACATGTCAAACTATCTGAGTATTGAACATTACTCACCAAAGGATATTATACTCAAAGAAATGTTAGATAATGATAAACAAAGTGATGAATTTAGATGCTTTTTTTTTTTTGGTCAAACCTATTTCCCCATTTGGAGTGGAGCTCAAGCACCAGGCGCTCTTCTTGAGGGGTCATCTTGCCTCTTTTGAGGCCAGGGTGCAAGTAATTAACCCATCTTAACCTGCAACTCTTACCTGTTCTGTTCAAACCTACAACAAAATATTAATCCAGGTGGGTTAAATGGGAGCTCCTTGGAGAAGCCTATCATCTCCAAATAACCGTGCCTATAATTTCTCTCCCTCCACCTTCAAACCTGATACCTTAGCTATGAAGTCCCAACGTCTGTCTCCAAACAAACCCACAAAGCACACCAGGTTGAAGTCCTCTTGCTCTGTCCATGGGCCCTTTCTGATGTTTTCCTCTTGAACCATTTTCATGATTGATAAATTTTCTCTTTTCCTTTTCTTTTTACGATTCCCAAGCTTGTGGCCTTGGCTCTTTTGATTGCAACGCTTCTGTTCTGCTGCTACTTTCTCCTTCTTCTTGTTTTACATGGAAACTTTGATGTCCAGTACAGATATATATACAACCCCAGTTTCCATGCTGAGAGGCTGCTTGATTATAATATTTGCTGATTTTGCATCTTCACCGTCCATGTGGTGCACGCATGCTTTTTTGTGATAAGGCACTTTATGGATCTGATGTCAGCCACTATGAACGCAATAATCGAAGTAAGAGATTGATCTGTTGGTGTGACTCTCATGGGATCATATCAGAGACCTCCAAGGAACAGCATAACAACCAAATCATATAAAGTCTAGCACAAGAGCTTGATCATCATCAATAAAAACTATTACTAATTTGATCCATTTTTAAGAAGATTAATAAGTCATCTAATTAGTTGATGTGGCATGCTAATAGAGGTTTGCTAAGTCCCTCTCTCTCTCTCTCTCTCTCTCTCTCTCTCTCTCGCACACTTAGATTTAGCAGTATATCTTATGAGGGAAATGTTTGAAGTGAGGTACCATCCCTACAAAATATCAGAAAATTATATAGCCATTTGAGTACTCTCGAAGTGATTAGATTTCTGTCTAATATATTGTATTTGCTTGCATAATTTAAATCACCAGCTGCTATCAATTTGGCAAATTTTTCATAATAATAAACTTTCAGATTCAACGTAAAAAATAGATAATTATGATCACTGAATTGCATTGTAAAGTAGTCCAAGAATGGATGTTTATATATATATATATTTACATGCGAACGTCATCGTTAAAAGCAAGTTATAAATATAAACCATTGATCAAGTTGTGAATATAATCCATTGATCAAGTTCAACAACAGTCTAGATACAAAACATATATTGTGAAACTTGACATGCGTCGACCATAAAACAAGATTGGCTTTATCTTGGTGTGGTTGGATAAAAGAGAATAAATTGATGGAGGTCACTAGAGAGCCTCTCCTTTCATCCAATTTGAGGAAATGTTGATGTTAGTAAGGTGTAGAAGCCA